TTTAAGAGTGGGTTCTTAAATGAAAATTACTTGGTCTTGTAAATACCTCGTGGCCACGTCGACTCTCAGGCCAAAACTTCTTTAGAATTGTTATTTGCAGCATTTCATAAATGTGTGTACGGTTCCGTTTTCAGAAGACACCCACAGAAAAAAACAACGAATATCAAATGAAAATCACTCATATTCTTAGAAAAAACACTAAAAGAATCAAAAAATAAAGTTCTCTACCTACGCAAGATTTTCAATTAGGATTTTACATGGAAACGTTCGTTCAAACCCTATGCGAAATTCGACCAAAGCAATAAATCATTAATGAAACATCTATTTCTTGACCTCACTCTAACCCACGCATTTCTTTTCCATTTTCTTGTATATCTGTACCGTCCTCCAACCTTCTCATTTACCTAATGCAAAATGTCTCAAAACTCGCCAAAATTAAAATGCATTGAAAATAATGTACCTCCTAATGTTAGAACCGTCTCTCATCGCTCTTTAACAAACTCGTCCCAATCGCACTTCTTTCATTGATACCTCAGATCGATTCCTGGTCAGTCGTCCACATACTTCCAGAAACGCTGGATTCCAGACCAAGGGAAATAGGTGTGTGGTCTTGGGGGGAAGTCCATCGTTCGGCGATAAGGATGGCAATGGGTGCAGAATCACATATGGTTCATAGCCATTCACTAAGTATATAGTTGACGATGTAATTGTCGAAAATGAATGTATACTTTTTCATCTTCAAATCACCACCTTGATCCAAATCAAATTAATATATCTAGATAATACACGAATTTGTAGAAGTTGAACGAACAAATGCATCTCTTTCAGTTAGTTCGGATAAAATATATTAAAACAGTTTTCGTCCGAACAATACAGGCAGTGAGAACAATTGCTATCATACAGACAATACAAGGTTATGTGTGACGAAATAGTTTGAACTGATTTGAACTCCTCAGTCAGGTGACATTTGCAAGGTCACTAACCGACACCGACGACTCCCTTCACGCCAGGAGCCATCATCCTCACGCGAAAGAAGGAGCAAATTCGCAGACGCATTCTTGGAAAGGAATTATTGCTCCCCAGGGAGTAATGGAGGGGCAGCTTCGTAAGGACTCTTAATTTATTTATTTTTTTCAATTTACTTTTAATCTTACTTATCGTCTAAGTACCGTAAAAACTGCATGTCATATGTGGGTGAGAAATAAAATCTGCGTTCCTTTTTTGAGTTCCAGAATTCCTTCCCTCTCTTTTATTTCATACAGTTGAAAGGTGACTTCACACGTCGAAAGATGTGAATGTGGTTGGCAACTTTTGAAAACTTTAAATTTTCGTTTTGGGGTAATAAAAAACATATTTGCGAAGGCAAACGAATTACAGATGTAACTTTATAATATTGCTGACAAAATATGAAGGCTCTGACCTCAATTACTTATTTATGCATTTATTTACTCCTAGTTTCAAATATATCGAGCTCTACGTACTTAACAAATGTCGAAAATTCGCCATTACGACCTCCGTATCTACGAAGCTTCAGTTGCAGCCTGCAACGGCGTACATGCGTTAATACGATTTAAAAAACGTCCAGTATAAATCAAGGCATGTACGTTGGCGCGGACACACATCTGCCGTACCATCCCGTCTGCACATCCGCCGTCGGCCCCCGGAGGCGCCGCCGCCGCTGTCTCTGCCTCCGCCTCCGCCGCCGCCTCCGCCGCCGCCTCGCCGCCGCGTTTCTGGATTCGCGCAGGTGGCATTTGCAACGACGCCCCTCCCCACCCCTCCCGTGCCCACCCCCGCCTCCACCGCGTCGCCGTCGTTTTTGCGCCGCGACCTTTGGACGTCGCATCGCATCACTCCCGAGCCCGACTGTCGTCTGGCCCCAGCTGTTGTTGGCCATGAGAGATGGCAGGCCGGACTGGCTCTCAGACACGAGAAGAAACCTAGGGCATTGGGGTAACCTGCGGGTTTGCGATAGGGCAACATCTTAGTGCAAGCGGGTTGACCCCCAGTTGCGTTAGAGTCAAATCTTCTTGCACGTGCAAAATAACCATCTACACTGTCAAGAGTATTCTAATATGACACTCGCGTCACATTATTCTTTAAGTACGAGTCCAAATAAAGTAAGGTTTTTGTGGTATTCTTATGATTATTTACGTGTTGAAAAAGGGAAAGTTATGCTTCGGTGGCACAAAAAAATAACGAAATATAACGCCCCAGCATTGTGAAATTTGCCCCGATGCACTACTTATGTTTCCTTCGTGAAATTCAGAATTATGGATATGTTTATCTATCTTTAATAGCATTTTGCAACTGAAAGCCGTGGTGCTACAACATACGTTGAAAGTTAAAATCTGAATTTTTACTTGACATAAATGTTCATGATTACAGTAGAAAGTTTTTACCGATGTGTCCTTTGATCACTAAATGCGAAACATAATTTCTGCTCTTCATTTTATTTTCAATGCCACTCGAATTATTTATTTATTTTTTTACTAAAGTGAGTACCCGTATCCATAGTAAAGTTGTTCATTATAATATTCTTTCAAACTTCGGGAACTTACAACGAAGCAAACGAACTGACAAAGCGCACCTATCAGTTTTTACAAACTTCTTTATTTGTAAAATTACAAACGCAAATTGCGTAACTGTTGGGGACTAACGGAAAGGGCAGCGCGAATTCTTTCCATCTTTAGATTTGAGAGTTCGAATTCTCATCACTCGATGAGGCGGACATCGATCATTCGTGCGTCAAGGAAAAACTTAAGCAGATTTTTAAGGATTTTCGTAATAATACTCTCTTAACAACCCGGCTCAGGAATATACGCCAGCTGAAGTCATTCCGAACCCAGGTAATAACCCTGTCCCCTTGCGTTAAATCCACCCTACATCAAAGTATCCATTGGAAAATCAAAGTACGTACTTTTTTCTCTGAGTCAAAGCCAGACAGACATTCGATACACTGCAGAAGGATGTACCGTCAAAGATATATTAGTCGCTGACATTTGCGGGATCCTCGCTCTGCAAACACGAGGCCCTACGCGCCACACCGCACACGAAAGGGGAACTGACATCCGCGCCGAGGGCGGGAGTGATGCCAGTGACCCTTCGTCCTGAGGCGTTGAGTCGTTATGCTTGCTCTTCAACCCTCTCGACAACGGTTTGTTTTGATTGCAAACATTAAAAGACGTAAATTGGACGTTGTGCCTCTAGAATGGCTCTTGGGCAGCGAACTAGCTCCCGTGGTGTGATTCCGTGTTCGATTCCCGGTTGAGACAAAAAGAGTTGTAGCTTTCCTTGAAATTGTCTGAACCTATGTGACGAAAAAACGTTCTGGCAGGCGGAGTTCGCTAGTCACGGTGACGCGAATACGTTATGTCACATGTCTCTCTTAGCCCCCCTCCCCCCAAGCGTGGGAATTAAACTACGTACGCCCAGGCATGCCAGCATTTAGCTAGCCAGCAATATCGGACAATGGACCCAAAATTCCAAATTCATACAAATGAGTCGTTGTTGGTATGGCGGTCATCGGGAAGGCGAGGCTCCGGGGTCCTGCGGCGTGGCTGCTTTGGCGAAATGAACACCCGCAGTGCGCGGCGACGGGAGAGCGTAATGGAACGTATTAGCTCGGGGAGGCGCCGGCCGCCGCCGCCGCCGCCGGGGGAAGTTATCCATCTTCATTACGCCGGGGCTTCCGCACTCGCCTCCGGTCGCCTCCCCTCCGCTCCCCCCTTTCCCGTCCTTCTCCTTCCCCGCCGACTTCACACCACCACTACCCCCATCCCCAGCCCTGTCTTGGCCTCCGCCTCCGACCGTCACCCGAGCCCGATCCACCCGCGATGGATAACCCCACCGTTTAGGCGCCTCTGTCCAGCCTCCTCCCCGCCACATCCGCCGCACCGCCTCGTCGTCCGCCCCGCCCCTCCTCCTCGCCAAACTCCGCCTCTTTCCAGGCATTGCCTCTGCCCCGACCCCCGCGTCTCTCCCTCAACCCCCGTTTTTGTCCCTATCTCTACCTCTACATCTGTTGCCACTCCCTATCGTCTTCGGACCCAGCCCCACCTCTTGCGGTTCACACCTCCGTTTCCTTGTACCTCACCTTCGCCCTCATCTTCCACCCTTCGCTCCTACCTACGACCAGCCCCCTAGCCTTCGTCTTCGCCTCCGCTTTTCGAAGCCGGCTCTCCCGCCCTCGCCGACCTTTTGGCCAACCCCTCAAGCTGCTACCTCAGCACCGCCTGGCCGCGCCGAGAATAGAATAACAGCGAAGAGATGAGAGACGGTATACACAGTGGCCAAGTTTGGTCTGGGGTCCTTGCCATGAGTCGCGATACACGGTACACGTTGCTCACCCAGAACGGTGGATCATAAAGTCAATGTTCGAGGTGAAAGTCAAAATAATTCTATAAATCAGATGTCAAACCTGTTCTTATACTTGCCAGGAGGAAAGAAATGCTATGTACTCCCTTCGTTGTACGAGAATAATATTGACGAGACGATGAAACACGTCCAAATAAAATGACTCCAGTACAGTGAACAATGGTTTAACGTCTTGTAGAATATTCAGGAAATGATTAGTTTGAGTGTTCAAGAAGTAACACTATTTTTGGCCTCCGTTTCGTGTTGGGCTTAGCCCGATCTGGACCGCAGTGCCATCGGAGAGCTTTTAAAAATAATGAGAATTTTAATTTAATGTTTGTTCTTTAACTTGCTAAGGTTTCGGTCCTGATTTGGGCATTCATCAGAGACTACACATAAAACATTCAAAACAACTCATTACCATACATGTTATAGCGTAATATTAATCTTCCAAACAATAATACTTATATTCAGAATTCTCCACAGTTAGCATCTCGTTTCAACAACACCAACTTCCCCAATCATTGTGGGCTACTTCCCACCCATTTCCTTCAGGAAATCTTAATGGAAACGTGATTTTGTATACTACTATTTTGTGCGTGTTTCCTTATTTTGTTGAGTAACTGTCACCTTCTTGCTTCCAGAGGGTTGTGACCACGCGGAGGTCTATGCGATGGCCAACAAGTCCCCCGGCTCGCAATTCTCGTATCCAGCGTTCACCTTTCCAGGACCCCAGGTGAGTGCGCTAAAGGCTTAATTATATTGTAACAACGTGCTCGATGTACGGTAACGTAATTCACATCTTCTTGCTTTGCAGTACACTCAACTAATGCACGCGGGCAAGGGATCTGCCTACTACCATCAGCTGTCCCTGCAGGAGGACCAGGGTATTGATATGACGCAGGTATGTTCTCGACAGGGCGTGGAAAATGGCAGTACTTTGTGGCGCGTTGCTGGTCGCTTCAGTGTTCTAAAATGAAGTTTTCGAAGTTTCTTTTTTATAGCGTGAAGTAGTATTATAGCTTTTATGTTTTGAGCCTCTACTCATGCATGAACTCTAAGGTTACGGAAGAATTATGTTGGAGAACGATACCTCAAAATTCTCGTGTGTAATCATATGACTGGTGTCCTGTGCGATACCGGCCAATTGATAGCGATATATGTAATTTGTTACTATTATGGCGACATTGTGTGCTGTGTATTCCTGTGATGCTACATCATATTGGTGGGTAGCTCTAGGCGATCAAATGCGAATCAAGATATGTGTCTTGGGAATTCAGCGTTAGCATCTCACTCGGCCTTCGCAGTTCGGAACCTCGTACTCCTATATTCTGACATATGACGAAAACGTTATGCAATACAGTCAAACGATAAATCCCAAGCGGTAGCTCCTAAGTGCAAGATATCATGATACGATGCGATACGATACGGAATTATTCTATATTAGACCATTAACCGGATAGGTATTAAGACTAAATAAGGCGACACACCCATGCTTTGCAAACCAGTCATTCACAGCCATCTATACAAAGAATTTCATTTAAAAATGTTTTTACGCTCCACACAATTTTTGTCCTTTAGCACTTACTGTCCATCGTTACATCGTACGCTGACGTTTTCAATTTGCTGTATCTCTTTGAGGCACCTCGTTTTCGCAATTCTAAATTCTCAATGTATTCTTTCGTTGCTGCTGTTCTAATGTGATATCACAGCGACTGAACGGAACAGCGCTTAAAAGGAGGCAATGCTGAAAATCATCTAGGAGCTTGCATGACGGGACTTTTCTACGGGAGCGGGAGACGGCGCTGCGCGGGGAATCCAGGTCAGGTCGGTGCTTCGCGCCGCGCAAACGAGACCGGCCGCGCAGGTTGGAACCGGCAAATGGCAGACGCCTGGATGCTCCAAATGCGGACTTAACTTCAGTTCCTGGCAAAATTACTGACTTCTCATTGTATTACTAGTAGTGGTACTTCAACAGCACATTTTTTCCCGTATCGTTTGCAATTTTACCTAATATTTCAATATTAATTGAACCTGCAAAATGTTCCCATACCCCATAATATATATTTCCACCTACATTTTTGTGTGACATTTTTTTAGATGTATCATTGATTTATGATTGACAATGTGAAGCAATTTTACTATTTTTAATGTTGTTAATAAACATGGTTTAAATATTTTTTTGAATATTTATGTTACTATAGAAAATTTGAGAATTGGAATTAATTTTATTAATATACGTAGCAATATGAAATTAAAGATATTGGGTTTACCTGTCTAGGATTATAATAAAACAGCATGTGATTATTATTATTACTATTATTATTATTATTATTATTATTATTATTATTATTATTATTATTATTATTTCTCAGGACATCAGTGACATTTTATCGTCCAATGTGACTTGTGTCCAGTTGTTGTTGTTGTTGGTGGTGGTACTAATGCTGGCGTGTGCGTTGCAGAGCCCCGGCAGGGACAGCCCCGGGTCGTCGGGGTCGGGCTCCGGCTCGGGGTCGCGCCACAGCACGGCCAGCCTGGACAGCGGGCGCGCCTCGGGCTACCACCTGCTGGGGCCCGGGGGCAGCGTGAGCAGCGCAGGCAGCGGGGGCGGCGGCGGCGCGGGCGGCGCGGCGCGCGGGGGCGGCGGCAGCGGCAGCGGCAGCGTGCTCTCGTCCAGCCCTCGCTGCTCGCTGTCGTCGTCGTCCTTGGGCTCCAGCGAGCACGGCGGCCCGGCCACCAAGGTGGAGCGCCTGCTCGCCCAGGGGGTGCCGGTACGACAGACACGCCTCTCTTATTTGTTGCCTCTAGACACACAATCGCATTAATTATAACGCATTGTCCGCTACTCTTTTCCGACTTAAATAAAGCGACTTGTGACAGATTATCTGCTGAGACGCGGTTATGCAATCAGGAGCTTCAGTACCAACAATTTATATCTTAATGATGCTCTTGACGTGATAACCGCGTCTCAGCAAATGATCTGACATGTGTCACAATAGTACACAATGATATATAATTGAACACTAAATTAATTTCTTTATGTTATGCTCTCAGAATTCTTTCAAATTCAGTCAGCCTCCACACTGCTCGTTGTGTATATTTCGCGAATGTTAATTCCCGCCTCAAATATGGCGTAATATTCTGGGAAAATACATCTTATAGTTCCCAGACTTTTAGGTTACAAAAACGAATTGTACGATTAAAAAGCAAATCCCACCCATGTGATTCTTGTAAGCCTCTCGTTATTCATCTAGATATTTTACCATTATTTTGTCTCTTCATATATAAATCAGTGGTTTTTGTCAAAAATGACTTACCTAAGGATGGGAATATATTTTCAGCAATTGTTCAGCAACACAGTTTTTAATGTAAATAAATAAATAATTCTCAATGTCACGCACTACTCCAATTCAATTGAATAATATAAAATAAAAGTAGAATATATTTTTATAATATATTATTACGAATATATCAAGTAGGATTATAATATTAACAGAAAAATGATTAGTAACGACAACAGATATACATTTGATTCAAGACTATTGGGCAGAAGGAAAGAAAGATGGAGTATCTTGATGTGGCGTGCATTGTTCTTGGTGAGAAGTACTTGTGGAAATAATGTTATTTCTTTTAAAACATCTTGTAAAGTTAACTGTGTAATACATACCACACAATGATACCATATAGTCTGTGGTGACCCTAATGATTATGAAAATTGCATCTGTTACATTGTTTTGGTCAAATATAAAACTATTATAGTGTGTTTTTAAATTTAAACTTTTTTTATGGCGATAAATGTTTTGATGGTACATTCAAGTACTTCAGACTCCTGAACTTGGGCAGAGAAAAATATTGAACAGGAAAAATAAATTCATACAACTGGTGAGCATCCTGTAATTTGCTTCATAAAGAGTCAATGTTCTGGTTACAAAGTATATACACACTCAAAAGACATACTATAAAGAAACACAACATATTTTTTGAATCTCCTTCCTTAAATTGCATTTGTGAATGTGTCATGACTGGTTCAGGAGGGAATTGAAATTAAAAATTTACGTTAAGAAATTAGCAAATAAAAAAGATAAGGGGAGGCATAAACTTGTGGAGAAGTTTGCAGTGAGCCTGGAGGTGAGTTTGATACAGATTGACATTTGAAAAAAAGTGACTAAACCAAGAAGCAGAGATGAGCAATGTGATAGGGAAAAAATTACATATTCGTGCCAAGCATTCTTTTGTACATTCATAATGCATACACACACCACCACTTATTGTATTGATTACATGTGATCTTCATTATTACTAATTTAATATTATAAAAATAATTGTAAAGTGTAGTAAAAAAAACAAAACAATATTCTTTGAGATCATATTTCAGATTTTATAAACTACTTTTATAATAACTGTTCTTTCTACTTTTAGGATCAGGATGTTATACACTCGTGGTTACTCGATTTACACTTTGAAGAGTACTTCCCACTCTTTGCCTCAGCTGGTTATGATATGCCAACAATAAGCCGCATGACTCCTGAAGACCTCACAGCTATTGGAATCAAGAAGCCAAATCACAGGAAGAAATTGAAAGCTGAGATTGCTCAACTAAATATATCAGATGGACTTCCAGATTACATCCCTGTAAGTAATAGATAATTTTCCTTTCATTATCTTAGTATTTTATGTTAATATTACTTATATTAAAAATGTTTAATTTTAAGTCATAAGATTCTTTCTTAATTCTCTAGCTCTCAGTTTAAAGTTTAAAATTTGAGGTTTGATTATTTGCTTTGATTTAATTGATGAGAGTCCATTAAGCATAGAAGGAAATTTATTGCATTAAGCATGAAAGAAAATTTATTCGTAGCATTTAACGGTTTATTTCCTCAATCAATTTTTATAAATTAATTTTCTGGTTATATAAATTTAATAAGTCGGGTTTGTGGGGAAAACCTGTCCTCGGGGACGTGAAGTACATGTACTGTTGTATTTACTGACACGTGTTTCTCAGTACATGAATTAGTACATGTCAATACAAGTGTGGAATGTCTTTCATTAAATCTGCTGGTGATTAATTGCAATCTGTGTGATAATAAAAATTTGTGTTGCATATTGCACTCGGATTGCTATGAGCCTTTACATAAAGTTTGTGTTACTATGTTTTTTTTCCAGATATAAATTCATAACAACATTGTGTGTTAATAAAAGTTTCTTCTATTGTGAACAAAATTAAAAATCAAGAAAATGCATCAGCTCTTATTCATCAGAGCTGCTTTGTATATTTCTTTGGCGTCAGTAATTGCTTTGCCACCCAATCTGATTGTAACAAGTATTGGATCATAATTCATACTCAAATGGCCCCCATCTCGATCAGGTTTTTTGTTCAGTTTCCCTGGTCCCTTGAGCAAGTGCTGAGATGGCCCCTAGTTTCACTTCTGGATAGTAATGTAACTTCACTCTCTCCACCCAAGACATTGTATTGACTTGTCATACATGATTGTAATTGTATATGTGACTCAATAAATATTACTTGATAATTTTGATAAGGGTACTGTAGTGGAAAAAAGAATCATACACCATTGTCAACTAGTCTTCTTTTATGCTGCATTGTATGGCTTTTCACATTTTCACTAAAAACTAGCTTGTATGGAAGATGCTAATTTGTGTCTATGACAGGGATCAATGGAAGAATGGTTGAGACTTCTGAGACTCGAAGAATATGGCCCACAGCTCCATCAGCAAGGGTATCGAACAGTAGAAGACGTCACTCAGTTGACATGGGAAGATCTTGAAGATATAGGGATAGTAAAACTCGGCCATCAGAAGAAAATTCTTCTGGCTATCAAGCGAGTCAAAGATGTGCGTGCTGGGAAACGTTTCCCACCCACTGGTGGGGGCATTGACCTCGCACGATTACCCCCTCACCCTGGCCAGACACAGGTACGTTGCTTTAATAATGTCTTGATTTTTGGAGAAACTTACAACTGAAAGCCCTAGGTAATTGAAAATAAAGTTTAATATACATTAGCATTCATTGGATAATTTGGATTTCTATACTTTGTAATTAACAGTGGAAAACATTCACTGTGTGTATCAGCTTTTGAGGAGGGGTGAGAGATCCAATGGCCCCAAAATATAATTTAAAAAAATCAGTGAAATAAAAGGGGCTTTCAGTTTTTCTATTGCACAAATGTCATGTGCATGCACTGTTTGCTGACCTGACAGTATAGTGGATGTGCCTCGCAAATGCGCCCGTCCGCCTGTCGTCTGCATAACCTACCTCACCCAAATGCTTGCCCCAATCTTAGAAAGTTGTCATGATGAAGACTTTCTTTGTTTCTAGAATTTTTTGTGTTAAACATACCCCACTTCTATTTACTGTTAACATGTAATGTTGCATGCTGTACTGTTTGTAGCTCACCATGGCAGATGATCAGCAGCTTCTTACTTCTAATCATTACTTCTCAATCACTAAAAAAAAAAAGTTTTTTTTTTTTATCACATTCAATATGTGAACACTTTTATTATCTTGATGTGTAGAAATATAATATTAGATTTCAGAGCTTAGCTGTTTCAAAAAGTGAATAAATTAACAAATTTTATAACAATTTGAAAATCGTTATTTCTTAAATTTTTTAAATTAATGTTTCTACCTGCAAAATCTTGTCTCTGGCATTGCTGAAAACATTTTGCAATAATAAAGGCCAGCTGCTGGTTATTAGGTCATGGTGCAGCCATTGTCATTAGGATTAATACGAATCTTTAGTTTTGCATGTGTGGCTGTATCTGTTTCTCTCCCCAAGGACGTGTTGATCACGACGGGGCCTGGCGGGGGGTTGCACTCTCCGGATGAGGGCGACTGTATGCCCCCTGCCCACGTGCACGCGGCGTACCACTCCTTCCACCAGCCCTGGGAGCTGGAGGGCAGCCGGCAGCAATTGCTTGGCCTCGGCCTGGGCCATGGCCACGTGTTTAGCACCACCACCACTATGACCACCGCACCACCACCGTTCTTCCAACCTATGTATTGTCCAGATATTGTTCCCATCAAGGTAGCCACTCATGCACTCAACTCTTGTTTTTCAAGTTTGATTTTGTTTGTTTATTAGGTGTACTAATTAATTTGGTGTACTTGCATGGAAGTTATTTTACAAGTCTTAAAGGTTGAAGGTCCTGCTTGTGGAACATTCTCCAAAGATATTTATAATGTCAAATTATGTCACTTAAAAGAGAGTCATGTAATCTAACAAATCAGTAGACATTTTTATAAGACTACAATTTTAATATTTGACCATTTCATAAAGTGCCAATTAGTGATAAAGTACTGCAAGATAATTCTTTTTAATTGTGGGGATGAAAAGAAATGATTTTTACTTAAAAGCAGTTATTGAGACATACTTCCCATCAACACAAAAATTTCTTTTTTCCATAAGTCGATATTTCATCCATCAGTCAGGTCTTCCCATGCAAATTGATCAGGCTTTCATATAAAATTGATTTGTTTTGCTTGAAAGTGAAAATGGCTTTAAGGATATTTAATTAATTAGTACACCAAAGAATCTTAATCCAGCCGTCAGTCGAATTATAATTTTTCAACTTTAGTGCTCAGTTTGCTTCCCACAAGGCTGTATGTGTTTTTAGTTTCCTTGATAAACATTAATTTATGTGCACGATCCACATACAGCATGCTGTGACTGTTTAAAGTGCATTTTTTATTCAAAAAAAAAAAAAGAAAGATAATAGTATGATTTTTTTCTGCAAATGTATTTTTCTATAGGTCGTTAACTAGAAAAATAAGTGGAAGTTTGCTTAAAAGTGCTGCCCCAACAACAGCTTTGCATGTTAGCATGGGGCGCCACCCACAGTATCTGCCAATAGCTTAGTACTGAGGGTAGTTTGTGTTTTTCTCAGACTCACATATGTATAACTACTACAATTTTATTAGTTTACTTGCATAAATAGTAACTAATAATAGAAGATTGTAAAAGTAGATTAACACAAAAATGATCTCCAAAGTTTTTATTTGAATATAGTTGTGTGTAATAGTAGAATAATACTCAAATATGCAGAGTTAAGTAGTAGTGACTTGTTCATTTGATTATGTGAGTACATGTTTTAGTAATTGCACATGGAAAAGTATTTCTTCATTTCCTGAATAATCTTTTTATAGATTTTTGGGATACTTTTCTGAATGTGCTGCTAAATTCTTTGATTCTGAAATTGTTTTATTTAACAATTATTACAATTATATTAACAAAAAATTATTTTATTATCAATGCTAAAGTTTCCAAAATGAAATAAATGTGAAATTGAATGACATTTAAGAACTTGCCACTAAGAAGTAAAAAAAAATAATTAGGATATCATTAAATTTAAGGAATATTTGTTTCTAATCAGTGAAATTGTTGTATAAAATCTGTTACATCTTTTAAGTTTTCCATAGTTGTTTCTAATAATGTAGAAGCGAGCTCTTGCACAGCATCAAATGATGTCAGAGTAAATGAAAATAGAGATGATAAGAAAGAATGTGAAATTTACATTGAAAATATTGTGGTGTATTTTTGGTAAAGTAATTGTGAATATTCTGTGTGTCAATGTATTTATAACAAATATGCTGAATTTTCTTTTTTTTCTTAACATTAATATATATATAAGGACTGTGATTTTTAAGCAGGATAATTTTTTCTGAAAACATTTATTAACTAATGAATTTTGCTTCTTATACATTTCTATCATTTTAAATGAGAGGAACAAACATTTCCTTGAAGAAGCAGAATTGAATTAGCATTTATGACGGAAATTAGGATCTGACTGACATTTAGACTTCGGATGTGGATGACATTATGCAATTTTTTTATGTTTGCTATTGCTGTGACAGAAATTTAATAGGTTTGCTATAATTATGATTATTCAAAAAATTTTAAAGACCAGATGTTGCCAAACAACTTTTTTTTTCTTTTGTGCAACGTCAATAGGGAAAACCTAGGGAATATTACAGACTTAGGTTGATTTTTTCAACTGATTAAGTTTTAAGTTGGTATTAGAGAAAAGAAATTCATGATGTAACATATTAATAATTAATCGGAGTTCAAGTACTTAATGCGCTCGGAACGAATATATAGGGAACTCACCAACTGATTGGCTGACTCGCTGAGTGCAAATAGCTGTAATGTGTGAAACACTAAATTTCGTAAAATAAATGAATAAATTAAAAAAAAATAATTAAAAAGTTCTCGTTAGTCTAAAAATTGTTTGCATTTTTAAAAGTGAATATTCAGATATTTCATTTTAGATCGCTGTGCAAGTTCGTGGTCATAAGCATTTACAATTTTATATTATAAGAAAATGTTCATTTTTGATTACTTTTCATATCATCGTCTATTAACAATTTAAAACATTCAATATTAAATAAATTTAATATTACAAGCATTGGATTTTTTGAACAATAAAAGAAATACTAATATATATATATATATATATATATATATATATATATATATATAATTATACAACACACAGAAATTCAATAACTTTGTGACACTGCGATGTTGAATTTAATATAGAATGGATATCTGTATCAAATTTAAGTTTTTCCTGATATCTCTTGTGAAAGGACATTCAACGAGTAAGTGGGATGTAGAAGTAACTTCACCACTATTTGGACTCGAATGTGGACTTGCATTCTTAAATATTTATTTACACCAATATTTGAGCCATAGTTATTTAACTGAAAATGGTCTAGTCGGAGTCTTAATAAAGTCAGATGTTTTAAATAGATATAAACCACTGAATTTCGTAAAAATAAATAAACAAATAATTTTAAAAAAGAACTTGTAAGTCTAAAGATCGTTTGCATTTTTAAAAGTGAATATTAAGATATTTAAAATACGTCTGAATCACTAAATTTTGTAAAAATAAATAAATAAGTAAATACATTTTTAAAAAAAAATTAAAATTCCTGCGAGTGTAAGTCGTGAGGGGTGCGAGTGCTGGCTGACGTGCGGCGGCGCGGCGTTGCAGATCCGCGGCGGGCGCGGCAAGTCGCTGGAGTCGCTGGAGGACGCCGGCGAGCGCGAGCGCGCGGCCGGCGCTGCCTGCCACACCTTCAGCGCCGAGCACACGCACACCTTCTACTACGCCGCGCACATGGCGCCGGGCCCCTGCGGCTGGCGGCCGCGCTCCTACGACGACGGCGACATCACGCCCACCAACGAGGTGCGTCCCGGCCCCTTCCACCGCACTTCAGTTAAACCGGCTTTTCATGGCTTTGGAAACGTCAGGCTTTGGAAAAATCAGGGAATCTAGAAAAATCGTTAGAAGTCACGGGACATTTAGCTAAAGTTATATAAATATATATTATTCCTCAAATACATTAACACAGCGTTATATTTTCCTCGATTCTTATTCGATGGAAAAAAAAAATGTTAATTCGTAGTATGGCACGTCGAAATCAAAGAGCTGGCCAATTAGAATCAGGGTAGCGTTATTTTCTTTAAGTATCATAAATTTACAAATTTGTCAGAGGAAAAAAAACTCTGAAAAAACGGGAAAAGTCCAGGAAATTTGTTCCGAGAAATGAGTGGCCACACTGTGGGGGTTTTGTTATGAAGGTAGTGTGACGGCTTTCTGATAAACCGGGAAACATAGGGAATTTCATTGATTTAGTTATTTCATGGTCAACTTCACGATGCTATCTCCAGATTTAAAAAAAAATGTTAGAGAGAGATAAGAAAGTACCGCTTTAACAGCTACTGCTTGACCACTGGTGGCAACATTACTGCAGGTTATGTCCATGAACTCATTTTGTCAGTGCGTTCGTTTAAAATTAGCTCATTTGTAAATATCTTCATCACTATCTCTTGCAACGTCATCGCCCTGCTTGACGTTCTTTGCTTCCCGACCTATCGAAATGACCCCTTCTAAGAGTAACTCCTCTATATGTAGTGACTTGTGCCCCGCAATAGTTTATGCTCCTGTAGGAGCCGCGATCGTGGGTATTTTCAATATAATTTCAGCGCCGCTGCTTTTCACTTATCCCACGTTGCTGCCCGTTGCCCTCGCTCTCGAGGTTTGGCAAATAAAACGAAGTTCCAACGAAAAGAAAGTGTACTGTTCGAAAGTTCTGGATTGCTAATCAATCGGCAAACTGTTACCTCCTGCGCTTTCACGGATATCTTGTTTCGCGAATCTTTTAAGCGCTTTAAGTTTACTATTAGTTGGGTAATTGAATCACTTTAAATTTACTTCACTTTGAATATCATGACTTAATCGTCATGCGTCACCTTTGGAACTCAAGCCAGCTTCTCCCAAAACGAACTTGACTCCATAGCAACCCGTTACATTACTCAATTGTTCGTTCTCTTACGACTGATACACTCGTACCAAGTTGCATTTTCATTTCGTAATATGCGGTGTTGAGGGTTTTGTTGTACAGGCTAGTGGCCACTTTGTAAAAAACGTGGAAAACAGCGGAAACTCAGGAAATGTCATTGCTTAGGTCATTTTATTTTGTTTGTTGACCAGTTTATGTAGTCCTCTCCAAGTATTCCTTAATGAGAGTGTTTCTCGGAGTTATTTGATGGGAAATGCTGAAAAAAAAGAAAGGAAAGAAAAAAAGAAAAGAAACATTATCTGCTCTCGCAGTCATTTCGTGAGCGTGAGTGTGAGTACGATAAGGGATGAAACCCCCAAAAGCATAATTTTAGGCGACCAATAATACGATTTACGAGGGTTGGGTCATAAGTCACGGCAACGATTTTTGAGAATATAAGCACGGATGGAAAATTGCACGAATTGAAAAAAACACATGAAAGGGCAAGGTATGAACTATGTGCATGGATGTTTAACGTTACACCAAAATTGGCTTTCTAATATTAATCAAGGTATTTGAAATGTCAGTACTGGTTCATTCCCAAAGTATTATAGCGTATAAGAGTTCACAGCATTCCAGAAGCATTACATACCCGTTCTAATTTTGGGGCAGATGCTCGATTCCCGCGTTGCTAATGAATAGTTGTTATGCGGCCTCGCAGAAACTCTCCTGGACATTTCGCTACTGCCCAATGTGAAAGGGCATTATTTCCAATAGGTCCATTAATTTACGAGAACTCATGAATTCTCGGGCATTTTTCCTAGAGAGAACGGGTTTATTTGTCTGTAAGTGCTGCTCGAAACTTGCTTCATTATTTCGCACGGCGGTAGGCAGACAACTGATTTCGCATTGCTCTCTTTGCGAATGGAGACGATCACATAGCCATCTGTTGTTGTGAACACACATTAGTTAGTCCTTTCTTTCTTTCTTTCTTTCTTGCGACAAATAAAATGGTGTGATCGGACTTCTTTTCGAGAAAGAAAGAAAGAAAGAAAGAAAGAAAGAAAGAAAGAAAGAAAGAAAGAAAGAAAGAAAGAAAATTAGGCATGGTCGCAAGGCTCGTGTGTGAAGCGAGCGCCGGGCCGTGAGGGTGAGGTGGCTGCGTTGCCCGCAGGCGGTGGCGCTGCACGAGGGCGGGGGCACGCTGCCGCGGCCGCGAGGGCTGGTGCGGCCGCGCCCGGTCGCCAAGATCGCCGCCACCAAGGCCGAGCCGCCGCCCCCGGCGCCGCCGGGCGCCTTCTACAAGCCGCTGCCGCGCG